TTGGAGGGGAGAGTATCTACACGTATTGCTTAGAATTCTTTTGTAAGGAGGATGAGTCTCTTTACCCTCATTTATTTACTTAGTCATTTATTTATATCAGTCTAGACTCATGTATATTTATTTTATGCTTTGAATTATAATCCAGTACTCCATTATTTAGTCTATAGCTCAAAATGGCCCAGCCTTGGCCTTTCAGAGTGCTTTCAGATTGACTCTCATTTCCCTTTGCTATATGCCCGGCATTTTGTTTTTTTGAGCACTTGGTTACTTTCTGGCACTTAAAAGATGCTCTAGGCTCATTTTATATTCCCTGCCCTAGTCTTCGAATCAGCTGTTTCTCCAAAGAGCACTGGTTCCTTTTATTGGAGAATTGTATTTAGAAACCAAGATCTGGATGCTGGGTGTGCTCATTGCTACTGGGGTGTCAGCCAGTGGTTGTATTATTTTGTTAAAGTATTCTTAAAGTCTAAATTAGAAAATTATGCCAAGAAGGTAGTAGGCCAAAAAGTAAAACACACCCTGACTTAGAAAATTACAAAGTTAAAAATTTCTATGGCAGTCAGTTTCTGTTGACATTTCTGAGGATGGATAAATGAATGTAGACCTTTTAAAATTCTGGTAAAAGTGCATATTGAGTCATTGTATTTATTTAAATAATCTATACTTTTAAGAAGTATTTACAATATACACTTCAGTATATAACTTCAAACATCAGAAAGTTTCTGTTCTTGAAGTTTGTTTTTGTTCGTTTTTGCTTTGAGCTTACCTTAATGTTAGCATCCTAACTTTGAGTAGAAGCAGATGATTCGTTCCTTCTTTTTTAATTAAGTAGAACCTCGTCTTGTCGTTGGACCTTTCTTCATGTGGACTGTAGGTGGATATTGGGACTTCTGTTGTTAGAGTTCTCCTAGGGAAATGAAAATCAGTTTTAATCCAATTTGCTTAGTGATAGGTCTCTTTTCAAATGTGAATTTATTCACTTTTTGGGTTTTAGTCTATTTTAGGCATTTTCTGCTTTGGGTATTTTAAGCCACAGGGATAAGTAAAATGACTTATGCAGTTACCAAATATAGTTTATTTGGTATAAATTTCTCTTTGGTTGCCAGATTGGAACAAGTTTTAAAAGTTGAATTAGACTTTTATTCAAATTGGGAGTCAAAGTTAGCTTTGAAAAAAATATGTAAATTTAAGAGTGGTTAAGGATGTGATTGCTGTAAAGAACAGGGTAGTCCATTCCTTTAACTCTCTGCTGTTTTCTTTTTCCTTTGCAGAGAATGTAGCTGGTCACTACATTTCCCCCTTCCATGATATTCCTCTGAATGTGGACTCCACAGAGGTATTGTTGTAACTTATTTTAGAGATGAAATTATGCACTTCTAGTATCACCATGAAATACTTTTTGGAAGCATCTTGAAAGAAGATGACTGGAAGTCATGAGGGGAGACAGAGAGGTTATAACAGAGTAGTAAGCTTCTCTTTATGAATTAGAATTTGTATGAGGAAGGGATTATTTTAGGAGGACTTGGAGAGAAAGAGGCGTTAGTGGCCCCTAAAGCTTAGAATTTGATAGGAAATAAAGATTTAAGGGTAAGAATTTAAGAGGTTAACAAGGGACGTATTTTTAATAATAACAGTATAGTTAACATTTGTGAATTGGTTTCTATTTGTTAATCACTGTGTATATAAAGGACGCCTGGTGGTGCAGTGGTTAAGCGCTTGGCTTCTAACGAAAAGGTCGGCAGTTCCAACCCACCAGCCACTCTGCAGGAGAAAGATCGTGGCAGGCTGCTTCCAGGAGAAATATGTGGCAGTCTGCTTCCATAAAGGTTTACAGCCTTGGAAACCCTATGAGGCAGTTCTACTCTGTCCTATAGGATTGCTAGGAGTCGGAATCAACTCAACAGCGTTGGGTTGGGTTGGGTTTGGTTGTATGAGCACTGGTGGTGCAGTGGTTAAGTGTTCGGCTGCTAACCAGAAGGTCAGCCGTATGAATCCACCAGCTGCTCCTTGGAAACCCTATGGGGCAGTTTTACTTTGTCCTGTTAGGGTCGCTATGAGTCAGAATCGACTTGATGACAGCAAGTGTTTTTATTATTATCTGTAGGGAAACTGAGGCTGAGGGTATTTTATTGACTTGTCCGAGATCACATAGCTAAGTGCCAGAGCCAGGGTGTGGACCACTATTTCTGACCACAGAGCTCACGCTCTTTAACCATTCTATCAAACAGATGCTAGAAAAGTAAGGCTGGGATAATGGTGATGAGTGAAGAGCTGTTATCTTAGAACCTAAGATCACTTGATAGTTGTGAGGGTGTAAAAGATGCAAGTCAAAAAGGAATGGGAGGTCTGCTGGTATAGGTAGAACTGAGAGGGGCTCAATATTGGACATATTGAGGACTCTCCTGATCGTTGGCAAGATGGCGTAATTGGTGGTTGTTGATGTTAGCTGCTATGGAATAGTTCCTTGACTCATGGCGACCCCATGCACAATAAAACAAAACACTGCGCAGTCCTGTGCTGTCCCCATAATGAGTTCTAGACCAGACAGTTGTGATCTATAGGGTTTTCATTGACTGATTTTTGGAAGTAGACCACCGGGCCTTTCTTCCTTCTTGTCTTTATCTGGAAGCTCCGCTGAAACCTGCTAGCATCACAGCAACGCGCAAACCTCCACTTACAGATGTGTGGTGGCTGTGCATGAGATGTATTGGCCAGGAATCAAACCCAGGTCTCCCACATGGAAGGCAAGAACTCTACCACTGAACCACTGCTGCCTCTGGCATAATTGGTGGCAGATGTTAAAGATCATCACTAAGTTGGAAGTTATTTCCTTAAAATCCAACTAGTGAATTGGTTAATTTCATGACCACATTTGTTACAGAGACACAGCTATTAAATAAATGACCGGAACTATATTCCTGATCGAGATTATATGGGGCTGGCTAATGGGGTTAGGTTTTCTAGAACTGTGGAGAGATCATTCTAGGGGGAGAGGCCAGTGAAGAAATGAGGAAGTTGCTTTAGATGCAAGGGCGGTTTGACCTTTTTGGTGTTACACACCTCAGAGGCCAAATATCATGCATTGCACTCAAGTTATGGGACCTTGAAATAGGATTTGTGCTGCCTTCCAGCCCTTCAGAGTACTGTCAATAAAATGGCAGTAGGGAGAATAATAGTGAAGATTTATCAAGTGTCTACTGTGCTTAGCTAGGTACTGTACTCAGTGCTTGATGTGCATTATCTCACCCTTATTTTGCTAATGAGGTTGAGAACCTGGCCCATGGTCACAAAGCTAGTTAGTTGTGAAGGTGGGATTTGAACTTAGATGCTCTAATTCCAGAGCTAGTGCTCTTAACTGCTTTGTGCAATGCCTCCAAGTTCATTGCTTTTAAGTGGTGAACTGCATAACCAGGGGTCATATAATCTGGAGAGAGAAAGAAATCAGAGAGAAGGCAGAAGGAATTCCATTATGTTATTGTGTGTGTCTGTGACTATGTGAGTGTGTGTCTCTGTGTTTTTTTTGTTGTTTTTTGGCTGGTGAACTATTGAACCTAAGTATGTCATGCTTCCCAATACTTCTTCTCTCTCTTGGCCCAAAGTGCGTGCATTCACTTATTCATTTATTCATTAGATAAATAATTATTGCATTCTTATTATGAGCCAGACACTGTTCCAGTCACTAGGGTGCCGGGGTAGTTAAGACACGGTTCCCACTCAGTTGGAGGAGATAACAAACAGCAAACAATCAGATAGCATTAAATGCTATAAAAATAGAACAGGGTAGTGTAGGATAAAGAACGACTGGTGGGTTCTGCTTCATGCAGGGCATACCATGAAAAAGTCTGTGTACCTCATAATAATAATGTTGTTAGTTGTTGAATCAATTCTAACTCATGGCGACCCATGTGTGCAGAGTAGAACTGCTCCATAGGGTTTTCAGTGCTGTGACCTTTTGTGAGCAGATCACCAGACCTGTCTCTCAAAGTGCCTTTGGGTGGGTTTGAGACACGAGCCTCTTGGTTAGTAGTCTAGAGTTTAACCATTTGCACCACTCAGGGATTATAATAATAATGGTAGTTTTTTTAGAAAGCTAAGAATTGTGTAGAAGGTAGAGGTAGAGGTGGAACAAAGAATGGGCTTGAAACATCTTAGCGGGCATAACATTCTTCCTAAGGATGTTAGGTTTGGGGAAATACGAGATTTGGGGTTAGGCCAGGGAAAATTGAGAAGAGGGCAGGGCAAAATATAACAGGATATGCCGGTGAATTCTGGTGACGTGGAGATGGGCACACACAGTGGTGGTATAAATATAAGTTTTCCTCATTCTCAGGCAGTATTGATTAGAACTGTTGCACCTTGTACTTTGGGGTGTGGTATTTTAGGAGCAGAAATAATATTTGAGGCGTGCCTTGGAATAATCATGTTTCTCTTTCCTTCACTGTAGTTGTTTGGTGTGTAGAAGTTACGTGTAATGTGTGAGCATTTGTGAATGGCTTGATTTTTCTCCCCAAACCACTGAGGAGTCTGCTTTAATTTAAAACCAGCAAAAGTGCTTGATAGAGGCGTTGTAATCACACCTTGGTAGAATTAAAAGGCATGAGGTGCAGCCGAGTACTTTCACGTACTGTTAGTCACACTCCCTGCAGTTTCATTTCAATGATGAAATGACTGTTTTAAGCACAGTTACTGGAAACTGCCAGCCTTCCCTTAAACTCTGAACAGAGACTTTGCTTGTTTTATGTCAACTGGGAAAATACACTTGAAAGAAATCTAGCTTTTCTGATCGTTTATGTTCTGAAACGGTTTGATGCTCCGTTCACAGGGGATGCGAATGCTGAGGGAAAGACTCACTGGTCATCTGGTAGGCTCTGTTGAATCAGGTTTCTGGACAGCCTCAGTAGTTGGACGTCTATACAATAGGCATATTTTATTGATACATAGTGCAACTCTGTTCTTTCATGAAATATTACAATCGTAAATATCATTTTTTTCTTTTATAGGAAAATGGTATTCCTACAAAGAAAGCACGAAATGCTGAGTATGAGGTATATCTAAAGGTTTTTATTTTTGTGGATCACTTTTATACTGTCTGTTAAAGATCTTCATGGTAGTTTTTGCGCTTGTAAGGTGCTTCTAAAATTTTGTCCCTGCAAGGCTTTCACACGCATTCTGCTGTTTTCTTCTTTTAGCATTTCTGTAAGGCAGCTAAGGCAGATATTATCATTTCATTCTGTAAGGGAGCAACCTGAGAATGAGGACATGCACCCAGATTTTCGTAGCAAGTTACTTATCATGGTAGATGGTCTAAAATAAATATACTTTTTGAAAATTTGTCAGTTTATCTTTTATTTATTATACGGAAGAAGATGGTTTGAGGCTGTTTTAGAATCCTGGGATGACAGTCTTTTGGGAGTAGAGGAGAAAAAAAATAGTTATACAACTGTATGCTAAAATAAATATATTCTAAATATACCTAAATATCTAAATATATATATATATACAAATGTGTATATGTATATATATATATACACACAGACACACACACACACATATATAAATACATAAGTGACTGTCAAACCTTTGATAGTTCTTTGATGTAGGACCAGCACATTTGATTGATGTCTGTTGTCCAGATCTTGTTATCAGTGCCCTTTTATCCTGCTTCGGCCTCCCGCTTTTCCTACCACCCACCTTCCTTCTATTCCCTTCCCAGCCTTATTTCCATCTGTTCTCTAGCCCAGCTGAAACTTATGAGTCCAGCCTTTGGATCCATTTCTAAACATAGCTGTGGGGGCTGTTTAATTCCTACAACCTTTGTCTGCCATATATCTTCTATTTTCTTAAACTGGTATTTGTCACAATGGTCCTCTAACAATCTACGCTGAAATCTCTTAGCGTGCTTGTTAAAAATTCAGGTTCCTGGGCTCCATCCCAGATCTACTAAATCAGAATCTCTACCTTTTTATCAAGTGCTCCAGATGCATCCTCAACACACTGAAGTTTGAAAACCACTGCTGTAGATATTAGGTAAATGGATGTTCAGGGGCTCAAAGCTTTATAGGCTCGCAGGGACTTTGTATATTGGCCTGGAAACAGTTGTTTCAGTGCAAAAATGTATTCTGAGCCCAGACAGCCAATTTAAAATCTAATTCTTAAAACTCAAAACTGCCTGATTTGAGTTTATCTGAAATTTTAAGACAGAGGAAGGAAGTATAATTTTTCCCCTCTTCTTCCTGCAAGTACATAAAACTTTACTGATTGCTTCTTCTTATATGTTAGTAGTTCTTCTTTTTGATTTTGAGGTGAAACAAAAATACAAGGGGAAAATGGAGACAAAGAAAAGGACCGAAGGAGGAAGTAAATCCCCCGCCACATATACAACTTTGTGATTTGATTTGTGTCTCCTTGTACCTTTTGGATTTTCCAATAAATTTAAGCAGCCCATTGTTGGTTGACAATTAACACTAATCTTAGGAAAAACATACTAACATTAGCTTTGAAAAACTACAGGCTGTGTGCATTTTAGTCAGAGAGAAGACGGCTAGGAATAAGCTCTTAGTGATCAAGAGTGAGTATGAGGGTGTGGTTTGCCGGCTTAAAATTCAAACCTCATCTATTTTCCTTTTGGCCTCACTGAAGTCTCTGTGAGTGGCTTGGTAGGTCACATTGTGTAAAACGATTGTCACTAGCTTGGTCTTCTCTGTCACCTCTAAGTATTCGTCCACATGCATTTGTTCTCTCGTAGCTGGTCTCAGGGATGAATAAATTATGTGAACATCTGTCATTTACTTAGGTTTTTGTTTTTTAATGTCTACTTCAGGCATATTTAAACAGGTGTAGAGGTGCCTCATGAAGGAGCATGGAAAATGAAACATCAGGACTGTATAACGTTTCTTAAGATAGGTATGAGACATACTTCTAAGGAGCAATTGTTGAGAATTCATTCTCGGTTTTATTCCTTATCTCATTATGCCATTTGTAACCATAAACCTTATCTAGAAAAATTTAATGAAAACCATCATTACTTTTGTGGCTATATTTATATTTAATTGTGTAAATGGCATCCTTTGAATTAATAGCGTTGCATGTTTCACTAAGAAACCACTGGATATTATTTAGTAATGCTTTAAACACATTAAAATTGGTTGGAGGACTTTAAAAAATAATCACTGCCCTGACTCCACCCCCTACCAATTGAATTCAAATATGTGGGAGGTGGGGCTCTAGGAATCTTTTTTTATTTTCTTTTAATTGGTTAAAGCTCCCCAGGAGATTTTGATGTGTGGCAGGATTAAGTATACTAAGACACTGTTTCTCAAATGATGTGTAGTGAAGGACTAGTTTTTAAGTTTGTTTATTTTTAATCTGTTGTTAACTGATACTTTAAAAAAAAATAGAAATGAATTATTAGAAAAGTGAAATTCATGCTTCTATTTTTTTATTATTAGTTTCAACAGACATAAAATTCCTATGTAAAACTGTTATAAATGTTTCTAAATGGACCAGTGACAATCAGCACATTGCTTTGCCGTGATACATTGTTAGTTACTGACATCAAAATGGCATACAAGTCAGCTTTAACCTTAAGACTTTCTCTTTTTAAGACAGACCATAGGAAATTATTTTTACACACCATTGATCTAAAGTATCTCCTTTGTTTTTAGTACTCTGCAAAGTTCAGAAATGATACAATGAAGCATCAATCCTTTTGTAAATTTATGGAACCTTAAATCACTAGATATGCAAGCTAAGTTTAGAAAAGTGTCAGTCTAATTCTTTGTAATCCTTCTGTATGTACCATAAAACTTTAATAACTTCCTGTACCGATATCCTTAATTTTACATTGTAGTCAGAATAATAACTTGGATTTAAATATTGCCTTATGATTTTCAAATTGTTTTAGTTCATAATTTTCTATATATTTTCATTTAAATTATATAATTGATCTTCATAATATAACCTGTGTGCTTAGTAGGACAGACATTATTATATTCATTTTATAGATTGGAAAAGGAAGACTGAGTGCTTAAATGATAGATACAGTCTCTCCTTTTTTAGTTTTTTCTTTTTTTTTTTAATTGTGGTTTAAGTGGAAGTTTACAATTCAAGTCAGTTTCTCGTACAAAAATTTATACACACATTGCTATGTGACCCTGGTTGCTCTCCCTATACTGTGACAGCACACTCCTCCTTTCCACCGCGGATTTCCTATGTTCATTCAACCAGCTCCTGACCCTTTCTGCCTTCTCATCTCACCTCCGGACAGGAGCTGCCCATTTTGTCTCATGTATCTACTTGAGCTAAGAAGCGCACTCCTCACGAGTATCACTTTATGTCCCATAGTTCAGTCTAATCTTTGTCTGAAGAGTTGGCCTTGGGAATGGTTTCAGCTCTGGGCCAACAGAGAGTCTGGGGCCATGTCTTCCAGGATCCCTCCAGTCTCAGTCAAACCGTTAAGTCTGGTCATTTTACTAGAATTTGAGTTCTGCACCCCACTTTTCTCCTGCTCCATCAGGGACTCTCTGTTGTGTTCCCTGTCAGGGCAGTCGTTGGTAATAGCCAGGTACCATCTACTTCTGATCTCAGGCTGATGGAGTCTCTGGTTTAAGTGGCCCTTTCTGTCTCTTGGGCTGCTATTTCCCTTGTGTCTTTGGTGTTCTTCATTCTCGTTTACTCCAGGTATGTTGGGACCAATTGATGCATCTTAGATGGATGCTTGCTAGCCTTTAAGACCTCAGATGCCACTCACCAAAGTGGGATGCAGAACATTTTCTCGAATAAACTTCATTATGCCAATTGGCTTAGATGTCCCCTGAACCATAGTCCCCCCAGACCCTCGCCCCTGCTACTCTTTCCCTCAAAGTGTTTGGTTGTATTCAGGAAACTTCTCAGCTTTTGGTTTAGTCCAGTTGTGCTGACTTCCCCTGTAGTGTGTGTTGTCCTTCCCTTCACCTAAGATAATTCTTGTCTACTATCTAGTTAGTGAATACTCCTTTTCCTCCCTCCCCACCCTCATAACCATCAAAGAATGTGTTCTTCTGTGTTTAAACCTTGTCTTGATTTCTTATAGTAGTGGTCTTATACAATATTTGTCCTTTTGCAACTGACTAAATTCACTCAGCATAATGCCTTCCAGATTTCCTCCAAGTTATAAGATGTGTCACAGATTCATTGTTATTCTTTATTGTTGTGTAGTATTCCATTGTGTAGATATACCATAATTTGTTATTTATCCATTCATCTGTTGATGGGCACCTAGGTTATTTCCATCTTTTTGCTGTCATGAAGAGTGTGCAATTAACATGGGTGTGCATATATCTATTCGTGTGATGGTTCTTATTTCTCTAGGATATATTCCAAGGAGTGGGATTGCTGGATCGTATGGTACTTCTGTTTGTAGCTTTTTAAGGAAGTGCTAAATCCATTTCCAAAGTGGTTGTACCATTTTACTTCCCACCAACAGTGTATAAGTGTTCCAGTCTCTCCACATCCTCTCCAACATTGATTATTTTGTGTTTTTTGGATTAATGCTAGCTTTATTGGGTTTAGATGGTATTTCATTGTAGTTTTAATTTGCATTTCTTTAATGGCTAATGATCATGAGCATATCCTCATGTGTCTGTTAGCCACCTGAATGTCTTCTTTGGTGAAGTACCTGTTCATATCCTTTGCCTATTTTTTAATTGGGTTATTTGTCTTTTTTGTTGTTGAGGTTTTGCAGTATCTTGTAAATTTCAGAAATTAGATGCTGATCGGATTTGTCTTTGCCAAAAATTTTTTCCCAGTCTGTAGGTTGTCTTTTGCCTCTTTTGGTGAAGTCTTTCGATGAGTGTAAGTGTTTGATTTTTAGGAGCTCCCAGTTATCTAGTTTCTCTTCTGGTGTTTGTGCATTGTTAGTAATGTTTTGTATTCTGTTTATGCCGTGTATTAGGGCTCCTAGCATTGTCCCTATTTTTTCTTCCATGATCTTTATCGTTTTCAATTTTATATTTAGGTCTTTGATCAATTTTGAGTTAGTTTTTGTTCATGGTGTGATGTATGGGTC